TAACTTCAACTGAAACTGTTTAGAAGATTTTAAAGAATATTTTCTAGATGTTCTGAAAAGAAGTCTGGCCAACTTGTTTTTTGATGTGGTCTAGTAATTTTTAAGAGTCATGTTTTCAGGTACTGAAGGACAAAATTAAATTGTGAACAATATTAAAATAAGTATAAACCAGTTGCCAATCTATGAATCAGTTTAAATACTCTGTCTACTAATCAAAGATAATTGTCCTAGTGAAAGATTTTGGTGGAAGCAATAATCCACCAAGAAACAATAGCAATCATACGTTTAATGCATACACGCTTTTCTGAGAGTGTACTTGGCAACCAGTTTTACATTAGTCCATAGTATAAATTTAAAACTTGAACAAGTAAAGCATGTAGTAGATCCTTTGCATGGACTTGTCCAGAGTACATGAATGCCATGTTCAGTGAATTGTATATTACCAGAGGAAAAAGAGAAGAACTAGAGAAAACTTTGGGATTAATAAGAGTTATTACAGATGAAGCTGCCAAAACCCACTTTCTGAGAAATCGAAGATGAACCTTATCGAAGCTAAGTAACAAAATGCTTTACATGGTGAATAAAAAGTCTCAAGAGAAGAAGCAAATGTTTTGGACAGTTGAAGACTATAAGGAAAAGCAGCAAGAGCCATTAAGTAATGGCTTAATGTAAGGACTGTAAAAGTATTAAGAAAGTATTAATAACCCATTGATTAGTCTTCTCAGCAAAAGCTGTTTTCCGTAACAAAATATTACAATTATTAAATAGTGGCATAGAGGCTATTGTAGTCCTTATCCAAACAGGTCAGAGTAAAGAATAGTAAAAGAGTATGGAGCTGGAGCTCTGAATTCCAGAAAATGTTGAAAGATTTTATTTTTTTTTTTAATAAAGTGTAAAAAAGTATCAGCAGAATGGATAAAACGATTGAGGATTACTGTAATGATCTTACAGGAAAATATGCAAGAATGTACGGATGAGCTGGTTGGCTCAGTGAAGAAAATCCTGCTGTCCTTACTTAAGTAAAGGAGACATAAAAGCATGAATTGGCAATTATACTGCCTCCCTGATATTGTACATATTTAAATTCTGCCCCATGTAATTCAGGATTGCTTGGAATGGAAGATAGAAACAAAACTTTTATCGAGAATCTTGTCAAGATTCCAGATAGACTGGGGGATGTGTGACTCTGTAAACATCTGAACAACTCAGAGAGCAAATGTCTAGGGTCTGTGTAGATGGGCACTGCAAGCTACACAGGAATTTCATAATGCCTGCAGAGGCACATGTAGAATGTTACATTTGGGAAGCACAAGTCTGAGTCTTTTTACATCTGAACCAGAGGTTTTTTTTACACATTCAGAAATAAATGTTAGGATTTAAAGTGTAGCTAAAAAATGTTATTGAAAATTTAATCCCACTTTAAGATGGGATAATATATTCGAATTAGCTACTGTTGATACAGAAGTTCCAGACAATTTGGAAAATTCCAAAGCCACAGAACCTCATAGGTGAAATGGACAATTTTTGAATTGTCAGGATTTCACTTCCTGGATCGTGAATGTTTTTTTCACATCAGAAATAGTTGCCACAGGTAGCTGGTTTTTTGGCTGTTTTTTTTTTTTTAAGCAAGAAGTGATTGAGCTTATCTTTTTCTTCTAGCAAAACAGTTCAAATTCTAGACAGCCTACTGTGGCACTTAAGTATAGTTATCATTATAAAGTGTCGTCTAATTTCTAACCTTTAGTTCTTTTACCAAGTTTGAGGCCATTAATTCCTGTGCCCTCTATAGAAAATAACTTTTCTGGTTCGTTTTTGCAACAACTTTCTATGTACTGTAGACTTTTATCACTTCTCTCTCAGTTTGTTCTTCCTTAAGTGAAACAACCTACATATTCTTTCAGTCTTTCTTCATCCTGTTTTGTAGACCTTGGCTCATGTTTCTGCTAAACTGCAGTATTCAAAACTGAATAGAATACAGCAACTGAAACATTAATAGTGTCAAAAATATAATATGATAGAGTAATTTTGATGGGAAGAGTCCACTGTAGACCCTCCCGTCCCAACTCCTGCTCAAAGCAGATCCAAGTAGGTAATTTTTTTTTTCTCAGTCAATGTTGTGATATTGTTGAGTCTAGTGCATGATCACCTATAACATCTAGAACTTAATTTTATAGAGTTGCTACCTGATCAGCTCTTTTCCTCCTGAATTTCTGCAATTTATCGTTCAGCTGAAGTATGCAAATATTAATGAATTCCTTTTGAATGCCTTTTTTTTTGTAATTGCTTTTCTATTTTATGAAACTTACCGTTTTGAATTCTGATCTTACCCCACTGTGTAGTGAATACACATCCAATTAGCTTCTCTTCTGTTCCAGAATAAGTGGAAATATTTAAATGTAGCCTATAAAGGAATATCACTTATTATAACTTTCCAGATTGATAATGAAGTACACATTTCTGGACAGTCAGATTTTCTTCATATTTTTAGGGAGAAAAGGATGACTTTACATATAACGTGATGACTTTCCTCAACTTCCTCCCTTCTCCGTGTTCTCTTAGCTTTAGATTCCCACAAATGCAATAGTTTTGTACTTTGCTTAGGATAGAAATACTGGTTTTCTAAAAATTGCATTAATTAGTCTACAATTTCATAGCCCTCCTTTCTCCAATTTGTGAAGTTTTTTGGACTGGAAACAGTCTCCTTGAGGCCTCCATGAATTCTTAAAGGTAAATCTTAATGGATCTGAAATTGCTAAAACCAGTTCTTCTGTGAATTCATCAGGTCCAAACTCTGGAAAGTACTTAAAGTTCAAGGACTCACTGAAGTTACCTTTCTGTACTCTAGTCTAAACACTTTTACATGTGTTTCTTGTGTTAATTTTGTACATTATCTGATCAGCATTAACGTTTTCAGAGAAGATAGGCACAGGAAAATCATCGAACTGTTTGATTCTCTTTGCAGTGTAATTTCATGATTTTGTTTTCCTGTTGGGCAGCAGATGAACTAGTTCCTGGACTTTCTTTTTATTCTTGCTTCTAGAATGTCACTTTTTATCCTTAATATCAATTCCTAATTGTACTGGGCTTTTTTTGCTTTGCCATTTATGCATTTCTCCCTGCACAAGTTTTATATCTGCTTTTCTGTTTGTCCTTCACATTCTGAATTACATTTCACTTTCTCCATCCTTCTTTTTCTGAGTTTCAGTTCATTGAAGATTTCATGTTTGAGTCTTGTTGCTTCTTTTTCTACACTTTCTATGTTTTGCCTTAGCATAGCTTCTGCTTGGCCAGTAGTGTGCTTTCTTTAAGGAATTCTCATTTAACCTGAAAAACTGTTTTCCTTACAGTTGTTTTCTATGAGATGTTTCATATCAATTGTCTGATGTTATTAGCAACTGTTCATATGTATTTTTTTCTGTCACTGCCTCTGCTTCTCAATAATTATTCAATGATTCTTGTCACTTAAATTGGTTTCAACTTTCATGTTTTTAGTCAGATCTTTGTTCTTGTCAGTACTACATCTAGAAGAGCTCACCTGGAGTCATTTGCTTACCTATTGTTTGAAAAATTTCTGTGAAAACATCCTAGTAGTTTCTCTGGACAATTTATTTCATGTTACATTCCTTGTTAATTGTATGAAGATTAGTCGTGTACTTTTTAAAAATATGGCCGTATCATTATTAATTTCAATAGAAGTACATAAAAATAGAATCTCAGCAGAGTCTTGATTCAGTAGTTTGTTTTATTTAGAAAAAAAGCATAAGAGGCAATAGGGGAACAGATATATTCTGAACACACTTCATTTAAGAGCAAGAAATCTCCCTGCTTTCTCCTTTGCATTTTGGGTAAAATCTTACATGCTAAAGTTCTAGTTCTATGCAGATATAATGCTTAAATCATGGGACACTTCAAGAAGGAGGTTTACATCAGCAATGTTGACAATTCCTTACTAAAGCTGTCAGATGCCTTTAACCCCGCTGGGTGCTGATGTGGAGATTTAGGGCTGTATGAATTTTGTTAAGTTACCCTGGAGAGTTTATCTGATTATTCATTGAGACTTGTATTTGGTGCAGTAATTTCATCTACCACCATTTGTCTTACCTTAATTGGTGCTTATTTTTTCATTATTATAAAAAATGAAAAAAGCCTGTCTAAAACATGAGCAAAGACTGAATTGTGTATTTAACTTACGAAATACAACTTGAATATTGGTGCCATATTGTAGTGGAACACTCTACCATTTATTTTTTGTCTTTTTTCCTTCAGCTTTGTATTTGAGGAAGGCTATCCTATATTGAGAAACAGATGTAAAAATCTTACATTTTGCTGAATGTTACGTTTCTTTACATAATTATGAATATTCTGCCAATCGTTTTAATTTGTTTGCTGTTCTGTTTGCACACCACTTTATGCAAAAAAGTCACATTGTAATTTAAATACAAGGAGATAAATGTTTAAAGAAAATAAATTCAGTTTTCATGGGATTTGCTTTTTGAGTTAACTTTTTTCTGGTTTTGCTGCAGTCTTGTAAATGCCAGCCTATAACTAGAGGGAACAGAACACTGGGTGTTTTCACTGACTGTTTCCTCCCACTTGGGAGGAAAAAAAACTGTTTGGGGTTTGAATTGATTTTTTTTCAGTTGCCAAAGCACAGTTTCTGCATTTTAATAGACTTATGATATCCCTCCAAACAATGCATTTGATGTTAATGTATAATGTAATTTGTTAAGGAGTACATTTATATTTAGTGTTTATATGAATACCTTGAAGATATGCCTATGTTGTTTAGACTGTCATTTTTTCTGATAAAAATGAGAAAGAAGGTCTCCTGACTAACTTCAGTTTGAAGATAAATAAAGACTTTAGACAAAAGCTAAAAGAATTCTACTCTTCATTGGAGTTCTTTGTACAGGGAATGGTATCATGACAGTGTAGCACTTTAGGTTAAAAAGAAAGGTGTGGGACGCTCATTATCCATTCTGTCTTTTAAATTTTTACAGGAAGAGCCATATGTTATGTTCAAGAAGTCTGACAAACCCTTGTATGGAAACGATCGATTTGAAGGTTACTGCATTGACCTCCTCAGGGAGCTGTCTACTATCCTTGGATTTTCCTATGAGATTAGACTGGTGGAGGATGGAAAATACGGAGCCCAGGAAGATGCCAGCGGACAGTGGAATGGAATGGTTCGTGAACTAATTGATCATGTAAGTTAACTTTTGGAAGCTTTCTACTATCCATTTAGATTTCAATTCTATCTATACAAATTGTAAAACTTTTATGATAATGCCATTTGAATAGTACTGTTTTGGAAAATGCAGATGTTTAAAGAAGTAGCGTAAGTAGATTCACATCAGTGATTTCTTTAGTGTAGCATTTGTTTGTTAAATAAAGACTACTCTGCATCTCTGTTTTGCCAACAGGCAGTGCTTATTTCTGCCAAACTGGTTTAGCTCTTCTGTGCCATGTGCCCAAGTCAAAATATGGAATGGATAATATTCAGAATTTATTTCTGAGAACAAATACATGTTTTTTTGTGATGAAACATATGTCTTCATTAATCAGTAGAAGTCAGACCTCCTCTTCTGGTAGTGCATCTGAGAATGTCTCAGAGAAATTTCTGCGTATGTAGTATAAACACATAAATTATTTGACATACACAAAGAAGAGGAGTATCTTTTTTGAAACATTAGCAATGAAGTGCAGGCAGTGAGACAAAAATATCAATGTATACTGAAGGAGCAAAGTAATGCAATGTGTGTCAAAACAGATGCCATTACAACTACTTGTAAATGAGTAAGGGAGGCATTACTTCGTGTCCTTCAAAGCATGCTTTTCCAGTTGGTCACACCAGTTGAATTCAGACTCTTAGAAACATTTTAGTCAATTTGAAAATTATGTCATTGTCCCTTTTTGCATTTATTGGGGCAAATTGCTTGATATAGAGACATTTAATCAAAGAACAAGATAAAACCTATTCTGCACATGACTGTCATTTAAAATAGGATCAAGGGGAGAGTATTTTGTAGCTAATTCAAATGAAACCTCCTAATGATGGCAGAAACTGCATGAATAGCTTGAAGAAAAATATTCAGTAATCTTGTTGCAATTTGCTTTAAGATTTTGGCAGATGGGCAGAACATGTGCTAATCAAAATATCCATATTTACTAGGAGGGTTGTTATCTTCATGCTTTTCTAGTAAATAATAATCTGGTATTGCTGTTGCAACAGATGTTGATTATGCCTAGCTTCACACTTTTAAGAAGAATGTGTGGGAGTATTATATTTATATTATCTTTAAATGTGTGCGTGTATTATACCTAGTACACATACATAGAAAGCAAACAGATGTTTAGCTAGACTCTCTGTCCATCTCTATACATGCATATTTTCACACAGATATAAATGCATAGGCACACATAGCTGTTAGACTTGATGGTTATCATTATCTGGAACTAATTTTCCATTATTTGGGTGGATATTGTGGAAATATTTCTCTTATAATTTTTCAGAAGCAAAGTAAAAAAATCACATTTTGGTATACTTTTATTATTCAGCCCTAAAGATTTCTTGAACAAGTACTAGTATGGCCTCCTCCTAAGCTTTTCCCTAAGAAAATCTTGAAATAAAATGCATTTGAAGAAGTTGCAGCAGTAAAGTATGTGGAACAAGAGCTTTTCCAATCCTTTCCTCTTGATAACACAGAATAGAACACGTGTTCCTTTTTCCCATAGATAACATATAACTAAATTTAGATTAAAATTTATTCTGCCTTTTGAAATTATGTTTATTTAGGAGTCAGAAATTTTAGGTACTGTGTTAGTACATCATGAAAGATGTAGTCATCTTAATCTGGATCATAACTTTTACTAGACATTCTCAATTTCTCAATTGTTAAAATTTTCCTTTAAATCTTTCTCTGGTTTTATCTATTCTTATTTTGTAATCTATTTGAATACGTGCAATTTATTTATGTATTTGTGCCCTTTATTTGCACGCGTGTTATTGGTACATTTTATTAGCAAGCAAGATTTCAGACCTCAGAACTGATGCACAAGAATTTAGAGAAGAATTTCAGATAGACAGTTACCACATTTGATGTTTCCCTATGGTTAGTACTTCACATGGCCCATTAGCTTAGCTTTTCAGTCCTTCTTTTCCCTTAGAGAATATTTTTTAAAGTGTTAAAAAGTTTTGGTTTTTTTTTTTTGTATAAAGTGATTTAGTAAACTCAATTACTATTTCTCTTAGAAAGATAAAAGGATTCTGTCTGCGTTTTTCAACCTGAGTTTCTAATTAAAATAAATAGACTATAGAATAAGACAGAGTTCTGAGAGTTGCCATAGGACTTATATCTATTTGAAAAATATTTTTAGAAATTGTTTTATCTGCTTGTTATATTTTAACATCATTCAAATTCAGAAAGGAAGGATAGTATGCTGTAGTATATATCTTTTTAAGGGTAGTTTGTAGAATTCGTAATTCAAGAATAAATAAAATGGATAATTTCAGTATATTATGTGTGTAGAAAGGAAGATGCACAATTTATATAAAGATAAAAAGTACCAAATATAATCTAAAATTTTAAATGAACAGTTTATATCTGTGCTTAGTCACTTTACATAATTGCTTGGACTCAAAAGTGAAAGTGAAATGAAAATAATGCTATCATCTGAACTGAGCTCAGCATATCATGTCAGTCTCAGGCTTGAAATTCTATAGTGTGAACAGAGACTGAAGCCTTTACATCAGGCTTTATGTGTTTGCAATCTCCTTTCCCGTAGTTTACTCGCATTTCTTCCTTTGACTGTTGTACTCGGTGTTCACATATGTCATTGTTCTGGTACTGGTTCAGTGGTTCCTTCTCTTTGACAACTGAATGATAATGAATTATTGTTGGAAAAGACAGTAGTCTCTATAGCTGCAAATGGAAGAGAAATATTCCCTAAGACAGTAAATATAGATGAGATTTGCCTATAAAAACTTTTAAAATTGATTTTCTCCAGTTAAGCAGTCTGATTTCTTTGCCACAATTTTTCATTCAATATTTTACCCTTCTCTCTGGTTAATTCAAGACAAAGGTGTTATATATTTGGAGGAGGGGGAGCTAAAATTCAGGCGTCTTCATCCTTTATGGATGCATTCTTCATAAAGAAGTGTCTTTATACTGACTTGCTTTGGTTCAAGAACTTTATTCAAGGATAGATTTATTGAATTGATTTTGAACTGATTTATAAATTCTAGAGATTTCAGGTTGTTCTGTGGTGCCAAAAATTGTTATGGCACTGTATTATATTATATGAGGTCTATAGTGTGAGTGTGTAAATTATGTTCCCCTATAGCTAGCAGACACTGATAGCGTAAAAATAAAAAATTTTGCTTTTTTTTTTTTCTGTTAGACAGTCTACTTTACAGCTTCAAAATGACTTCAAAACAGTCTTATTGTTGGATTCTGAAACAGGCAAAAATTACTATTTCATACTTTCCCAGATATATAAACAAAAATGAAAAATCCACGGGGAAGTAATTTGTTGTTATTATATGCCATTAAAAATAACCTTTTTTTCTCTTGGCTCTTTGTTTGAATGATTCTTCTACAGCACAAACATTATGCATTACAAATAGATTTTATGATTCATAAATAATTACAGAAAAAGTCCAATTTTTAGATCATGACTGCATTTCTATTATATGTGAGGATTAAATGGGAACTTTTCTTTGTATCTCAGAAGAGTAGGATTTTCAGCTTGGAAGAAGTTAAGACTGATGCAGTTGGACAATTGGAAAATACGACTTAATTTAAATTAACTTTAGACATGGTTTTATGTTTTACTTCAATATCTTTTGGATTTTTTTAAAATCAATACCTAATTAATAAATGCTTACATACAAAATGCTTACATTTATAAAAATAATAGCAGCCTTTTCTTAATAACAGAACAGTTTCAGATATTTATATAATCAGTTTAGAAATGTTTCTGGAGACATCTTCCTCCAATAACTTGTTATTTTCTTTTTTTTTTTTCCCCCCACTAATTTAAGATCCTTATGTTCTTGAAGGACTAGGGCCAAGCTCTTTGTATTACTGTGTGGAACTGAAAAAAAGCTTCCAATAAGCAACTACATAGGTTTTTGGTTGCTTCCTTTTGAGACAGAGAAAAATCTATATGAGTAAAGGAATTTAAGTTTCTTCCATCTTTTCTTTTCTCTTCCTCCCTTTTTCAAATGCAGTTTCTTCATGTTGTTTGGACTCTCTCTCTTTCCTTCATCCTTACAGCAAGTCCTGCTGTATAGAGTCTCATAATGGAAGATTAAGGAGTTTCTCTTGCCTCTTCTCCTCAAGGATAGTTACAGTCTTCCTCCTTGTAACTTTCAAGCAAAAGATCTGACGGTTGAGATTTTCAATAAAATGCAGGATAGTTTAGCTATGCCTCTTGCATTAATCAAAATCTCAGAAAATTTGATACTAGCAGGGGATTAGAGACTCTTTAGGAGAAAAAAAGATCGAGCATTCTGTCTTTTTGCACCAACATTATAATGTACTGAACAATAAAACCCGTGGTCTCTCACTGCTCTTTAGAGCACCGCATGTGCTTTATGGTTGCCTCATTGTAGTAGTGAAAACACTGGTCTGATGTCGAAATTTTCAAAGCTATGTATAACACAACTCCTACTGATATTTTTGTTTTCAAATGATGCTTGTAAAATAATGTTCTGACACTTACTCATATGCCACTACTTATTGAACATTACTATTAGTCTGTTGTCAAAATATTTGTCCATAGAGGATCGCTGGATTGTGACAACTTCAGTTAAACAATGATTTGATTTTTTTTTTTTTTTAATCAGATAGAATACTACATCACCTTCTCCTTTCTCTATTTCTGAGAATGACTTAGTTGTTTTTTGCCAAACTCCCTAGATTTTTGCTAAGAACTACTGTGCTAGTTGTCCTCATCAGGTTCAAATAATAAGAATGTTTTGCAGGACAACCTAGTTAGTAAACCAGAGGCAGAATATCAGTAGTGACTTCAGAAACATGTTTTGCCATCCTTACCCGAATTTGGACAACTCTGGACTTTGACACGGTGGTTTATGTCTCTTCCTTTGTGGCTAGTATTTATGATTGTGAACTCTCATTCATTTCATATGTCTTAAAAAAAATTATAGATGTCATAGTTTAAGCGGATATATCAACTGAGCAAGCATTAAAAAAAAAGTCTGAAATATGAGACAAGTGGAGATTCAAAAAAAGAAGATTCTCCAGAGAATGCCTTTATATATGACAACATTTGAGTGTGCTGCCGATGAGAAGTTAAACTGGTGCTGATTGATAGAAAAATAATTAACTAGTATTGTAAGGTCTTACTTAGGATTTACAAGAAAGGTTTCAAACTGATCAGGCCTTAAGTTTAGAACATTCTCTTATATTGGTCTTTTAAAATATTTATTCCAATCACATTAACAGCTATACAATTAAAAATCTAAATCCAGAAATTGTTATTTCTCCTTCTTTGACACATTTTCCATTAATTCATAGTACAGATTAACAATGTAATCACATAATAATATATCAGAAAACACAAATAGATAGGAATATATCATAATGTAGAAGTGATTCTAACTCATATTTCTGCAAAAATCTAGCTTTTTTCCCTGACCTATCTTTCTCCATCTAAACCTGCATCTCAGACTTCTCTTAATGTTCATCTTGGCTATCTTACTGTCAAATTCAGTTGAACATTGCCAAAACTTAGGTCATGATTTTTTAACTTGTCTTTTTTATTCCTTCATTCTTGTCACTGTTCCTAACACCACCATTCTCATAAAAGTTCAAGACCATAAGGGAGTCCTTTTAAATGTCTTCCTCTTTATTTCCCTTTCCATAGAGATTGTGTTCACATCTTGCCATGTCTTCTATGAATCTTGAAAAATCAACCTTATTTTTCTTTTCTTGCCATACAGTAAAATAGGTCTTAGGCCAGACTTTTCTTTTGTACATTTGCCTGCAGCAGCGACCTTGTTTCTGTCTTCTAAGAAGTTCAGGAATCTGTTTCTTGAGCTCCATGTTCCTCACTGGTTTGACCTAACATTTTATATGCATGCTTTCCTCTTATTGTGCTGCATCAATGCAGGAAGGGGAGCAGAATAAAGCCCCCGTAATTCAAGGGGAAATGATTGGTGACCTGCCAGACCACTTAAACACGCACAAGTCTCTGGGTTCAAATGGGATCCGTCCACGTGTACTGAAGGAGCTGGTGGAAGTGCTCACCAAACCACTTTACCTCATTTATCAGCAGTCCTGGCTAACCAGGGAGGCCCCAGTTGACTGGAAATTAGCAAATGTGTGGTGCCCATCTACAAGAAGGTACAGAAGGAGGATCCAGGGAACTACAGGCCTGTCAGTCTGATCTTGGTGCTGGGGAAGGTTATGGAGCAGATCATCCTGAGTGCCAACACCAGGTGATCAGGCCCAGTCAGCGTGGGTTTATGAAAGTCAAGTCTTGCTTGACTGACCTGATCTGCTTCTGTGACCAGGTGACCCACTTAGTGGATGAGGGAAAGGCTGTGGATGTTGTCTACCTAGACTTTAGTAAAGCCTTTGACACTATTTCCTGCATCATTCTCCTGGAGAAACTGGCTGCTCATGGCTTGGATGGGCGTATGCTTTGCTGGGTAAAAAACTGGCTGGACGGCCTTGATCAAAGAGTGGTGGTGAATGAAGTTAAATCCAGTTAGTGACCAGTCACAAGTGGTGGTCCCCAGGGCTCAATTTTGGGGCCAGTTCTGTTTAATATCTTTATCAATGATCTGGACAAGGAGATCCAGTGCACCCTCAGTAATTCCACAGATGACACCGAGGTAGAAGGAAGTATTGATGTGCTTGAGGGTAGGAAGGCTCTATAGAGGAATCTGGACAGGCTGGATCAATGGGCCGAGGCCAACTGTCTGAGGTTACACCGGGCCAACTGCGGGGTACTGACATTGGGA